TATTTGGAAGACATTGATCTCCTGATCAATGGGAAGATCCCGTTAATTATATCGCAGAACAGGCCGTCTCATGCAGCCTACCAAGTTTTGTACAATTTTATTTTGGCGATCCACCGGGGCAATCGAAAGAGACTCCTTATTCACAGGTCACCATTTTAATTGTACAATTTTATTTTGGCGATCCACCGGGGTAACCCGAAACAGACTCCTTGTTCTCTGGTTACGTTTTCACGCAGGTTTACTCTTTTTCCTTTCCAAAAGATAAAAAACCTTGCTCTTTTAGAGGTGCAAATATATATATCCACCAACAAAGAATGCAAACTAATCGAGTGACAAGCAGCGCGACTTACTTCTTCCTTCGATTTTCTTTCGACGATAAGCCTTTCCACCTCAAATTATTTACCGGAGAAAAGATATATCTTTCTTCCCTTCATATTATGCACGTATCAATGTAAATCCCGTGGGGGCGGGGAGAGTGCGGGCAAGGTGAGGGGATTCGTGCGAAGCGACCCCGGGGTCGGGACATTTGACTTTGACCGACAGAAGCCTGGTATCAATTCAGAAGCAGTTACCAAGTCCGTCCCTCGAGGCTTCCTGAAAGTCACCCTGTTGGAGAAAGGTATGAAGTTTTCATTTGTTTTAATCGCCATAATCCGATACTTTACACTGTCATCTAAACAGATAATGTCTATTTTGAGAAAGTTTTTATCTTCAAGTTCCCATCTGATTGTAAAACTCGATTGAAATCGAATTCTACCATGAAAGTCAGAGGATTTTTTATGGGTCACTGATCCGACCTGTTCCGACATGTTGAGCAGATGTTATAAAGCATTTTACGTTTCATTAATATTATATAGCACGGTCAATCTTCCCGGAGTGATTTTGTTGTTCAAGATAAGAGATGCTAGTGGAGAGAGAAAATACTTAATTACAGCGAGTAATTTAATGGAGCTTCCGTTAACCGTAAATAAAAGTAGTAACAACGTGTTTGAAATGTTCTTTTATTCGTTTTACATAGTATTATAGCATTGTTTGTTTAGATTTTTTTCCCTGGGGTGGGGGCTTTTTGACACTTTTGATTGACCTTTCGTTTCCCACCTTGGGGAATTTCATCGAAAAATTTTAAAATTTGTCAAATCCCCACCCCTCGCCCGCACTCCCCCACGGGGTTTACATTGATAGGTGCATTATCCATAAAAGCTGTTGAAAAATTATCCAGCTCTTTGTAGAAATTCTTACTGTGAATAAATCTTAATTTCCTGGCGGCCATAGTATGTGACATAACAGGAGTCGATGCGGCCGAGTAAAACTTTCGTGACATTTTGGCAACTGTAAACCAATAGGAAATCGCAGATGAGAAATCATTGATTGACAGGTTGATCAACCGCGGAAAATAGGACCGCCCATTCATGTCCTGAATTACTCCACATGAGATAGATACAGCTGTCATGCTTGACTCATAAGGGGGCTTAAATACAAAATACTACTTGCTAACAAAACATCGTTGCTTCCTCCCATCTGTTACGAATACTACTACTCCACAACACTTTTTTTTCCAGCAGGAATTTATGTTATCCCGTATTTCTTGGTGATTTAAGGAGTTTATAAGCCACAGTATTTTCGGTAATTTTATCCTTCTTAATTTGTTAACTCTGGGCTGTAAACTTAAAAATTGGCGAAAGGGGCCTCTTTGGCTGACAAAATTTTCATCTCCACATAACACCTGATGATTCTCGAGCATCTGAATTTCGTACAAATAAAGACAAACTTGAAACACACTTGTTCTTCAAAATTTACCCGATTGCAGTTTTACCCAATCGTGTTCCCTTTGGCATTTCGTTATTCCTATTTTGCTCTTCTACATTGTCGAGCAGTAATACGTTAGTAAGTACCGAAGAAATTGCCTGATAGTGTGAGTAGCTCGATAAAATCTAATTGTTTAAATTTTGTCTGTTTGTTTATGACTCTCGTTTCCTCCAATGTAACTAAAGGTAATTCGAATACCGGAATCAGTAAAACAATTCTACTCGAGGAATCCGGAATCCCTCTTATGATTGGAATCGGGAATCTAACTGCCACTGACAACCGGAATCCAGTTCCTGGAATCCAGAGTCCACAGCGTGGAATCCAAAATTCAAGACCTTCTTGGATTGCCTTTTATGGAGCGAGTTGTTGTTGGTGATGTTTTTTTTTTAATCTTAAGAGCCAGTTTCTGTAAATATCGAAAATCCGGCGACAATTTCAAAATTTTCACTTTCTTCATATTTTGCCCAAATAAAGCCTTTAGTGAGTTATTTTCGAAAATACAGTTAAAAGATCCCAAAGCGCTTGAGTTTTTTCAAAATCGAGGAAAGTTTGAAAATCGCCATTTTGGCCTCCCGCCGCCATTGAAAATTGACAAAAATGATGCATTTTCGTTTCGCTCGTGCTGGTAAACGCGATAACATCTAGCAATGTACTTTGGACATTTCATAGCACTTCACTTGCTCTTTTTAAAACA